AAACAAAAAAAAAAAAAAAAAAAAAAAGTGTGCAAAAGAGAAGGGTTTGTTTGGTTACCGTCTAGGGCTTGTAGAATTTTCTTGACTTTCCTTAGGCAACCTTGGCAGTGGATGGAGACTCTCAACACATGTACTTGTGCGTGTTCCTCGGCTTCTTTGGGTTGTTCCGCTTTTGTTTCCATTTGAGCTTCAAAGGAAGAGAACTCAGAAACAGATAGGAACTCTTAAAAAGCAGAGAGAGAGAGAGAGAGGGTTAAAGGGTCTGAGACATGCGAATAATTTATAATTTAAAAGTGAAGGGCTTCGTGAAAAGAAGAGAATCTTGGGAAGAAGAATGTACATATCGTGGCGCAGTAGGGGTTGGTCTTCAATATGAGTCGTTCAATTTTATTTTATTTTTTTAAAAGAATTTTAATTTATGTAGTGGACACTCGACACATTGGACGCGGTTTCTGCTTTTCTCGTCTTTTGCCGATCAATGCTCCATGCTTTTTCAACCAATTTTTTTTCTTTCCTTTTCCTTTGAAATCATATATTCATGAAACAAGTGCACGCATATTGTTTCAGAAAAATAGGTCAAAAAATTATTTATTGTTCCAGAAAACGAGCCAACCTTTGATAGCTTTTATTTTAAATAATTTCGAGAATATATATCCTTTAAGTTATCATAATATATATAGTAAGGTTAACTGTATCTTTCGTATACCATACTTTAAACGATTTATATTGTGGTATAAGATTATTTTAATTATTAATATATTTTTAAGAAGATTATTGTTCAATTTATAGATAAAATAAAAAGATAAATTCAAAGAAACATAAGATCAAAATAAGTTCTTAAAAATATTTTTAAAAGAATTCTTTAAAGAATTATACTTGTACCAACCTGACTCGAGTCAAGCTTAACCGAGTTTATAAGTTAACTTGACCGAGATGATTACTTAGACAAACTAGAATAAATATATGAAACATTGTCATATTACATCGGACAAAAGATACTAGCGAGACACCTCGACATATTGACGACATCAAATACAATTCAGCTGTCAATAACCTTCAGAAGATAACCGTACGACAATTAAACAGTTACTCGGAAAACCACCATAAATAAAGATATAAGGAATACATGAGATAAAGAGGGATAACTAATTTGATCATCAGAATCTTTTTTGCAGGTACATCTGAGACGCGTGAGGAGATCGCTAACTAAAAAGACTAATCTTGGAAGCCGACTTTGCTCAATCCTTAACAAGGCCGAGATGAAGAGGAAGAAAGCAACCTTTCTGAACTGAAGAACCAACCTGATTTATGTAAGAACAATACCAATGACATTAAAAAATAAAAGTGTTCTTTTAGAATATAGCTATTTGAATTTATATAAAGGAGAATGATAAATGAAGTAAAAAATGAGATGTGTGAAAAGTGAAAAGCCTATAATACTCGAATTGATCTATTGATCCGCATCAGCATCAGGCTTCACCGCCTTTGGGTTATCAAAATATCTATCACGTCTTATTTCATTTTAGAATATGTACTTACTTGACATGTATCTTTTACATAAAATCCCCTATTAACTAGTTTAATTTTTTTTTCATTAATTCGCATTAGAATCAACATTAACGGAATTTATTTAATCCATGTTAAAGAATATTATAAAAATGTATATTGTTACTTTTATAATGTTACAAACTTAATCGTTAAACTCAACTAATTAATATTATAATTTTTTATTAAAATAATATTTTTTAGCATAAAAAATAAAATTATTTGGATAATAAAGAGATAAGTTCGTACATACATATATAATACATTTTTTAATTTTTATAATAATTATATTAAAAATATAGAAAGAGTAATAATTACCAAAGATATATAAATTTTTATTCAATTAATGAAAATTAATTTGTTCTTTTAATCCTGTAAATTAAACCACCATAAAAAAAAATTGTAACCAAAACAAAAATGTGTAGTTGTGCACAATAACTAAGTCACTAGTATACTGACTCAACAGTGGACAATAGGCGAAATTGAAAAGTTATGAAAAAGACATTAATAATGAGAATTCAGTTTTATTAAAAGTTTGGTCTAACAAACTACTCTTTAAAAAATAGTTTAGATTTATAAAACTGAACATAAAATTTATTATAGTTCAATTTTTTATAAAAATAATTTAGTTTTTTCTAGTTTAATCTAATTTAGTTATTTATTAGTTTAGTTCTAATTAATTATTTAGAACATTTTCTAATTATAAATTTTTTTTATAACTAAAGTGCATTAAACTACTTTTTATAATAGTTTAGTTCTTAAAACTAAATTAAAATATAGTTTAGTTTAGTTTTTATAAAATTAGTTTAGTTTTTTAATAATTTAGTTTAGTTTAGTTTTTACAATAGTTTAATTTAATATAGTTTTTTGAACATCTCTAATTGGGATTGCCTTTCTAGTTTACCACCTTTGCTATTAAAAAAATTTAAAAGTATATTTATATTAATTTATCTTGCAATATATTTTATTTTATCAAATATAACTTTAAAACATTTGCACTAACTAATTAATTTTGTTTCAAATAAATATTATTTAACAATCATTCAATATTAAATTATCAAATTAAACATTACAATATATAAAAAAGAGTAAATAACATGTTAAAAAATAATATGAATTTCACATTCACTTTATATTTTGAGTTATTCACTTATGATATTTTAAGTGAGAAATATTAATAATACACTTTGTGACATTTTTTTCAATATATTGTGTGAGAAAGTATATTGCTAATATTCTTCTATTTTATGTACTAATCTATACAGTTTTAGTGTTTTACACATTAATAATTTATGGAGGTGTAAAAAGTAAAAGGCCGTTCTGGCCACTCCTGAATGTCTATAAATAGAGTTGGGTGGTTGAAGAGAAATGGAGGTTTTTAGAGAGAAGTTTTAGAGAGAAGGACTCTGGACTAGGAAGCTTGCTTTGGGTGGATTGAAGTTCCGGGTTGAGCTTCGGAAAGGGAATTCCGCTTCTTGGCTATTCTGAGCCAATCTTCAGGTAAGGGAAGCTAGATTGTAAAGTTGTTGGTTGTATGTGAGTTGGGAACTCATTTGGGTACTTAGGTTGATTAGTATGAGTTGTGTTATGTGATGAAAATATTGTGTGTTGCTAATATATGATTAAATATTTATTAATGGTGTTGTTGGAGATGCATGTTGTAGTTAAGTTGTGAAGTTGTTTACAAGTTGTGTGTTGATCTATGATATTGTTGAAGCTAGTTGAAATTAAGTTGATAAAGTTGCTATATGTTATGTGTGGACATGTATATGTTGTGAAGTGCATGATGATAATATTGGTAAGTTGTTAGAGAAGAGTTGTATATTGCTATAAAGTTGTATGTTGTGCCATGTGTGTGTAATCATATCAATGTTACGTCATATTTACTTACTTTTTTAATGATTAATTTTTTGTCATTGATCACTTTTTGGTGAAATTTTAGATTTTAATTATTTATTTATATATATATAATATTTGAATTTTGAAACTTTGTAAAAAAAAATAAATTGAGTTAAGCATTATTTAATCCAATGGCTTAGTGGTATATGTAATTCAGGCAATTAAATTAAAAATGGAGCATTTTAGAAAAAACAAAAATTCGATTGCACGGAACTGGAAGGGACTTGCATTGAACAATACATGGTCACATTTCCTCAAAATTTCAACATTTTTAACTTTATTATAACATTAATTTTTACATTCAATAATTCAATTCATTGTATAAAAGATGTGCAGCAGGAAAAGAATAACTATAGATCAACACCACTTGATTGCTTAGCATCTCAATCATGCTCACATCAGCAGGAATTTTGCACCCCAATTTTTAGTTAACAACCAGAACAGAGTTAACTTTCAGCTTTTTAGGATTAAATAATTAACAAACTAGTGATGAGATTATTCTATGATATTTGTCTGAAGTGATATTTTATGAGGTTATTATTATAGTTATTATACTAGCATACTCCATAATGATGAGATATTGTCCGTTTTGGGTCCAAGTTCTGACGGTTTTGCATTTGATCATTACCTAAAAGATTTCTCAATCATTGAAGTATGTGTGTGTTGTTGTTAGTGCATCCAATCTTACGGCTCTGATACCACTGAATGGGTCAGTGGTGGACCTTAGTAATGACAGGGAGAAACTTTTGATAAGTCACTAGTATACTGACTCAACAGTGGACAATAGGCGAAATTGAAAAGTTATGAAAAAGACATTAATAATGAGAATTCAGTTTTATTAAAAGTTTGGTCTAACAAACTACTCTTTAAAAAATAGTTTAGATTTATAAAACTGAACATAAAATTTATTATAGTTCAATTTTTTATAAAAATAATTTAGTTTTTTCTAGTTTAATCTAATTTAGTTATTTATTAGTTTAGTTCTAATTAATTATTTAGAACATTTTCTAATTATAAATTTTATTTTTTAGTTGTATTTTACTTTCATCCCATGTCTTACAATTATAATTTCTAAGTATAATGATATTAAACAAATAAAAGATATTATATTATATTCTAAGAAATTAGTATAAAAAAATATACATCCAAAAGAAATAGATGTAAAAATGTGGAGATACACTTTAAAAGATAAATTATTGATGAAAAAATGAACAATAAAAAAATATTATAATTTTTTTATAATAAAATTTAAAATTAATTATAATATCAACTGTTAATTTTAATTAATAATTATGATTAAATTTTATTCTTTAAACTCAAGGGTTCTCTAACTTGGGAGAGAAATTTTGGACTATCATATATAGTCTTCATTATGCTTGGGAATGAACTCATCTGTAACTTTTAATTTTAGACTGATGGCCAATCATCCTCTTTACTATATTCTTTGTGTGAGTCTCTTGTTAACTATTTGAGCTAATAACAATGTAACAAATCAATAAATTTATTTTTGAATTTAATTTGTATTATTATTTATTTTATGAGTTAATATCATTATATTTAAAACAAGATATTAAATAATTTACATCTATTATGAAATTTAATTTTTTAAAATAAATAAATTTAATTATATTTGACTCAATTTATCTAACACAATCCAACCTATTTAAGTTTAGTTGAATTTTATTATAAAAAATAAAAAATACACAAACCTAACTTATTAAATTTTAACTAAATTAAATAACGAATTCATTCTAATTCAACTCCAATCCAACCTCCATATGCCCCTCACAATAACCTTCTAGGTGGGTTTTTGTTGATAGCCCAAGCATGCCATTAGGATCTTGCTTGTGTTATTGGGAGTAAGGCTGTTGAAATAGTTGAACTAAATTAAATTATATGTG